GACAAATCCCGTACTTGAGTCTGTGGCTCCAGGAACCTACATTGGTGCCAAATCTGGCGAACCTTTTTTCTGGGAATGTAGCTTTTGGGCATAGTTCAATAACCTGTGGACTCAAATCTTCGTCATAGGGGATTGTCTGGCATCTGCCCAATTGGCGTAAGACCCGATGCGGGGCATATGGCTGAATACTCTGAAGACCCATTAATAAAAGAAAGCACACTCCGGCGGACATGTAAATAACTTCGTCGACCAGGAGCCAACCGAAAGTCCACTCAATTTGATTTGCGTTTAAAGAACCCAAATACGCGAACCATGCCTCAGTACCTTCTGGAAACTCATGACCGTTTACTCGGTTTTCATATTCTTCGATGCAATTGAGTCTGATCAGACCGTAGTTCATGTAACCTGGGCGATGACAAAGATGTTCTACCAACCACATTTGTAAAAGCAAGTTGCAACCCTCAAAAAACTTTTGTCCCGGCTCGACAAGCGGTTAAATCTCGGTAAATTTATGCGAGAATCATCGGTATGATAGTGTCATTGGCCTTTTTGACCATAAAGTCGGCCACTCCTACGAGCCCCAATTCTATGTCTGCCACTCTTTGGGCATATCAGAGTGCCTAAAAATGCCACCATAAAGGCCAAACCCATGCGTGCTTCCCATTTGTCTTTATTTCCCTGATGATTCAAACCAGAGTCCGGAGCCTCAAATCTATGGGGGTCACTATACCGGCTGTATAAGAAATGGAATGTGCAGAATCCTCCGGCTAAATTTTCATCTTTAACCTGCCGGCTAATTCTCAAGAGGTCCAAAAACTTATGAGGGGTTACAGTTCTTGGTGCTACTGGATATTGATGCCTTAGCTTCCCTTCGAAACTAGCATAACCTGTTATCTCCTCTTGTGTAAGGGTCAACTCGAAATTAGAGAAGTGAAAAACGTTGTGTGTCGGGTCCCAAAACGGTATCAAAGCTTCGATTATATCAACTCTTGGTTTAATCTCCAGAAGACCAGTGAGCCCACCTAAAGCCTTTATCACAGAACGCTTGGCGACCTCCCCCAGGTCGTTCCACCACATGTTGAGTCCTAATGGAATCTCGTCTTTGACTCGAAAAGGTATATTTTCAACAGTGCTCATCCTGCATATTTTTATTTAAGGTGACTGGTTAAAAACAAGTGATTTTTGATTTTTTTATTTTTTATTTTTGACCACCCCAAAAGAAAGATTATTTTTGCAAAATAAAACTCAAACAACTCAAGGCCACCTTTGCAAATACGACCCTTCAGCCCTTCAGAAATGAAGATTTTAAAACTGTGCTTGCTAAGTGGTCAAAATTAGAAAAAGAGCCATAGGTGGATATTCTTGCAAAACAAGCCTTTCGGCATCCCGTCGGGACATTTCTGGCCATTTGGACAGAAAATGGCATCCCCTAATGACAAAATGACGCATTTTTTGGTTATATTTGCAAAAATGGGTCCGGACCCGATGAGGGTTGCCTACGTATCTCACATCCAATAAGAATCAAACCCGCGTAGTTCGGTCAATTTTGATGCACAGACAAATATGATTTGTTTTGAAATGCTTTTCTCTCTTTATTCTTGAAATTTTGACAGAGTAACGAGGTTTGTTTTTTTGAATACCGGGATTGCCAAAACCAGGCGTTTTTCTATCCTACCTCACTCTTTGGTTTTTCTCTTCTATTGTTTTTTTGATTTTTTTTTTCTAACTCAAGAAGCCGGTCAACATACAAACCAAGCAAATTAATGCACAAGTAGCACGTAAAGAATGCATCATGATGGTCCTTTAATTTTGGGTACACCTATCCTAGACGGACCCAATCCCTGTGTTGAGTCCCNGTATTGGTCTAGACCCGGCTTACCCAAGCAGACAACTCGAGCCGGGAGGGAGGGAGGGGAGACAGCATACCGGGAATACAGAAGCTTCACCGGCTTTAAAACTTGTCTGAACCTCGTTCTAAAATTAGGATATGATTCTAGCAGAAAAGAAGTCACGCGAAGCGCACGATCCCCAGAAGATTTAGAAGACTCAGAGAAAAGGAGAGTTTCGTAACAGTTTATATAAAGTTCACATAATATCAAAGCGGTAAAAAGCGACATTTAGTACATTAGGTTTAAACACGTAAAAATCAGATAATAGACAAAAACCAAGTATAACAGCTATTCTAAGCTCGAATTCTGAACCCTGAACCAGAGATTCTGGGTTCGATCCTCAGCAGAGTCGCCAGAGCTGTCACACCTCCTTTTTCCCGAGGGGATATGAGAATAGGGAGTTTTTCCAATTAAAGTGACATTAATCGAAATGGGATTATTTATTCATTCAGAGTCGCCCCTTGGAATAATTTATGGTGTCCCAAGTCACTGATTTATTTTTAAATTCCAAATCGAGGAAATTGACTGTTATTTATGGTCCGCGAACACAGAAGACCGGGTAAGGAATTCTGTTAATCCGGAAGAAGGTATGAGGCACTTCCGAGTTCCGTGGTTTTAGCACGGTCGCTTAACAATTACTACTTGGCTTAATTATCTGATTCATTACATTGTTTAAAAACCTATTGTGCGTTTTACCTTTAAAACCGCTTTTAGTACTTATGAAATTTATTTGAATAAGTCGCGATGTCGCGCACTCGTTTGTTTTTGTACACATTGCAAACCGCGCTACGTGAAACGCACCCGCGATTTACAACATGTTAATTTTATTTTTTCGAAGTTATGATCGGGTCACATGAAATGTACACCCAAATTGGAATTTACGTATCGCGACCATGCCACGGGAACCGTATCCATAATCACGATGCTTATTAGTCGCGCCTAAAGCAACTAGCGCGTGTTCGTGAGTTATTTTCTTAAACTACTTTGAGATTGCTTGTGAGGTCATGAATTATGGAAATTATTGTGAGAGGTTGACAAATTAAACAAAAATAAAGACAATATAATGAAAGCAGAATACGTATCATTATTCTTATGCTTATCTTAATCAGATCCAAACAAAATTCATATTGGCTCATCAACAAAAGCTAATAAATCTATTACCCCACTTATGAGCAAGATTCCAGTTTTATCAATAAAAACATAACATGTTACTTTTCAAGACTAAATTAGACCAGTATCACGTCATTACTTAAAAGAATTCAAAAGTTTAATCTAAAACGATTTTACTCCTTAAAATGGAAACCAACCAACTAAAGAACTAAATTATCAAATTAAAATTGAACTCATGAATCAGTTACTTCAGTCATACAAGCACAAACTTATTATCCAAATGAAAATCTTAGTATCCATGAATTGAACAGTAATAGGATAAAACAAAAACTCACGCCTAACTACCGTAAACATGGAACTAATTAAAATAAGAGAATTCAAGAATTTAATACCCAAAAGATAGGAAAGAATCGGACCTTTGTATTTAAGAAGAATATCCAAATCAAATCTCTAACAAAGCAGCTGTGAGATGGAATCAAAATCCAAAAATTGATAACGGAACTTGAAAAGAAAAACGATCTGGACCGCGACCGGAAAAACCTCCAAACCGCGAACTCGACTCGATCGGAACGGAATACCACCGCAACCGACCTCGGCAATGGCTATTTTCGTGTATGGTTTTAATGACTGTTTGGGGTGTTCTTATCGAGGACTTTGGATCTGGTTTAATGATATTAACAAAGATGAGCTACAGGTGGAAGAGCTAAGGATGGCGTTGACCGGGATGCTGTAGCGAGAGCTGCATCACTACCATCTATGCGCAACAGTTGCTGCCATCTTTCTTAGCTCTCTCTGTTTTCTTTCGTGCCCTCCTCCTGTGAGAATGAGAGAGGAGCCTCTTTTATTTTAGGGTTTTTTTGGATTTTTTAGGTTATGAGGATTTTGGGCTAAGAGGAATGGCCCATCCGAATTTGGGCCCAAATTTTGGACTCTTTAATTCTAAAGGTCCATAAATTAAGAAACTTAATAATTTTAATATATACTATTAAATGTAAAATTAATTTTAATTAATTAAGACAAACTATATGAAACTATTTTTTTGTATTTTTTAATTTTTGTTCTTTAAAACTAGAATTAAAATTAATAATAAAGTGAAATCCTATAGAAATAAACTTCAATAAATATTCTAAAAATACTAAAACTATTGAAAATAATTCTGATGTACGGGTCAAAAATTACGTGCTTACAAAAGATCACCGATGAGATTTGTCCAGTTCTTGATATAATAGACAAGATTAAAAATCATTCAACTTTACCCCTTAGAAAGTTTAAAAATTAGAACTCAAGAGAAAGTAAAATAATTAAAGAGAATATCAACAGAACGTTAATGGGAAACTTACCAGATAAAACAGGTTGAATACCATTGAGTATGAGAGATAGAGCCAAGAGCGGAGCAAGATCAGAGGCTGCTTCTGCTATGGTTTCTCCGCTCGTGAAGGCATAGCTCATCACATGCCGCAGTAATAACACCAGAATTGCAAAGATTACAGAAATGACAAAGGAACTCAATGTCACCACCACAACAGAAAATGCTGCTGATTTTGGATGTCCAGCTCCTAGCTCATTGCTCACTCTCACACTGCCATTTTAAAATGAATTTAAGTTTTGTACACTGACATTGCAAAAAATATATTCATGTAATCAGGATATTTGTACAATAATTACAGGTAAATCTTAATGATACAGGTTCTAATAAAAACCACTTCCTACATTTCTAAGCATGTCATATATGATTTTAAACATGTGATCTGTATGATTATAAGACTTTTGAAATTTGTGGTCTTAAATATGTCATATTATTTGTGAGACTATAAAAGTTTGATATTAATAATAAAATGAGAAGTTTAAGTTATATTATTTTTAAATTTAAAAATATAATTATTTATTTTGGAACAAACTAAAAAAAATAGAAGCATTAACAAGTTAATTTATACTTGTTGTGAAAATTAATTTACATTAAGAAAGTATATACTATGTAAAATCCTTATCAAATTACTGTTATCAGAACTTCTTCTCGAAATGTCATGATGATGATTTTGCTGAGATATTTATGCAAAGATCAACTTGCTTGAGTTGCATTTCTATTTTTGGAGTGAAGTGATTCCATGCGTAGTGGAGCAGTCATTTCTGATTTTGGCCGATTTCGAATTATTGGTCTTGCTATCACTTTCTTGGTCTTATTCCTTTCAAGATACACGTGTGGTCGTGGTCTATTGATGTCCTTAAATATGTTCTGTCTCATATTATATGTAGGAGATTTTTCTATGGAATTAAAGTATCCAATGAATTCATATTCTCTCGATTTCACCTTATCTTCTAAAATTAAGAGCTGTTTTAATAATCACGCCCAGAGTTATTTTTATTTTCTATTTTCTAATTAATAAATTCTCAGATAAAATAGAAAAGGTAAACAGAAAAGCATCTACTCTTGTAATTAACAGGTTATAGCCTGTAGGGGTGTTAAAAGAACTTTTAAAATCGACTGAACTGATGAAATCGGGCTAATCGAATCAATGTTATGTCTGTTTTTAAGAAATTAGTTTCTCGACACGTGCATCGCACGTATTTGTTAAATTATATTAATTTTGACAATGTAAATAGTACCATATTGTAGAAACAAAATTTTAAATAAATAACTATAGATGAACGAATAAAATATAAGTTTGTATGAATAATAAATCTATTATAATTACCATTCTTGTTTGAAATTAAAAATAATGTTAAATATTTTTACTTCTTGAACGAAAAAATTATTATTATGTTAGTCATTTATATTGAAAAAATTTCAATTTATAAATTGTAGAAATATTACCAATTATGCGACCGAATAATCCAAGTACTCTGTTGGAAGATCACAAGACAAATTTATATTGGATGAAATCTTAAATCTCTAAGAAAAAGATAACAATTCCAAAATCGAAGCTCAAGCCAAAAGACACTATGCTTTGGAAGTTTGTCCCGAAAAATAACAAACTTCGCAAACAAATAATTAATTTAAGCCAAATAACATAATCCATGAATGTGACAAAGTGATTGAATAAGCGAAACATAAGCTCATATTGCTAATATATTCATAAAAATAATTGTATGAAATAAAACTGATTAGGTTGAAAATTTAATATTTAATGGAAAACTTTGTTAGGTTAATTAACAAATAATTTATTAGAAATATCTTATTTATTAATATTTTATTTTCAGATTATATTTGACTGAGTCTCCTCTCTTTTCTTTTGACATTAGAAGTATTAGTTCATTATCCAAGTTTATCCTATAAACACTCTTTTATAGGTTGTTTAATATCTATGGAACTTGAGCATGTTTATATATATATATATATATAAAATAAGATAACGTTGTACATAAACTAAAGAATTATATTAGAACTTACAGAATTTGTCTCGCAAAGGAAAAGAAAGAAGAATATATAGCTGACGGTGAAACTCTAATGATTAAATACATCAGAGAAAAACATTTGGGAATAATGATTGTTACTTTATGTTTTATATTGGCAGAGAGACGTTGGATGTTTTGAGTATAAATAAAATGGTGCTTGTAAGGCTTTTGAAGATATACTATGTTCTACTTTTGAAAGGCAACCTTACGTTTTATATTCTTTTTTGAAAAGGCAATACGATTGGAAAAAAAAAAAGGAAAAATAGGCACCTGTTAGTTGGAAATCAGTTTGAACATTAGATACTAATATGAAAGATCATATCTTTTCAAGTAAATTTAGTATTTTGTGTCATTTTATATATGTAAAGTATTTACATTATTTAAAAGGGTATTTTCGTAATTTAATTTTTAATTTAAGGGCTTTCCACTTTTAATATAATATAGATATAGATAAATTTAGATATATGCTATAATCAGACCAAGTATTTAGGATAATTTATATTTATTTTATATAAGAAGTTGAAAAAATTCGAAATCAAATCAATTAAGTACTGATGCATAAAATGTGTGATTTGTATAAAATTAGTATTATACAAAGTATTACTAGCACTTTCTTGGAAAGTGTTATATACAGGAGATAATTAACCCAAAAAATGGGCATGATATATCTTTTTTAAGATAATTGATCAAACGGTGACTAACCTTGCTGCTGCATTGAAGCCAAGAGAAATCATGAATACCCACCCTAGAATTGTCGTACTGCATAAAAAATATACCATTAAAGAAAGAAAGTATAAGAAAACAAAATAAAAATATGAGCACAATTATTGAATTTGGAAGTAGACGGTTTTACCAAACAGCTAGAGAGTCCAATGCTACCTCAGGATTTGGAAGCAAACCAGCAATTAAAATTAAAATTTGAAAGTACCAAGTCTCGAGACACAACATCACGGCTGAAGCAAGAGACAATTTGAAGAAATCCCACATTCCAAAAAATGCTTGCAGGCTAAATCCATTCCATGTTTTCTTACATCGATCAGTCCACAAAATATATACAAATTGCGCAATCACAACTATCCACCATGAAATACTCAAAACCAAAGCTCCTCCAAACAATCCCCAATCAAATACATAAAGCACAAGCCATGTTAAGAAAAGGTGAAAAACTAATGTCACAGCTGCTATATATGCACTAGGATTGACAATGCTTTGAGCTTGCAAGAATTTTTGGATTGGAAAATTGGCAGCATAAGCAAAAATTTGGGGAATTAGACCATAGACAAATAGTGCTGCTGCAGATGCTAATTTCTTGGATTGTCCTAGTAAAATCAAGATTGGCTTAGAGAATAAGTAGGCCACTGTAAGTGGTATTCCGGTAAGCATAAGAAGAATGGTTGATCTTTGGAGATATATCCCAAGCATTTCATACTTGTGAGCTCCATATGCTTGCCCACATAAAGTTTCAACTGCACTTCCCATTCCTAGCTGTTCCAATATTGTTCATTGTAAGTATACAAAGTAAAAGAGCAGTATAGAGATCATTAATCTTTGTGAGGTGAATTAACAAAATTACCATGACGCCATAGGCCAAAAGTTGAATGCCACTATTACCAAGGGAAGCAGCAGCAAGTTCAAGATTGCCAAGATGGCCACAGAAGATCTGAGTAGACATGGAAGTGGTATTGTTAAGCAAGTAAACAATGATTGCCGGAGCTGCTAGACGGAAGAGATTTCTCAGCTCTATGACCGAGGCCCGTCCAAACCGCTGAAGATGTGACAAGCTTGTGTCGGACAGGATTTCTTCAAGTTCAGGGCTTATTTGCTCCGCCGCCAACGTTGGCGGTTCGGATTCTAGCAAAGGTTCATTTGGCCCCTTATCTTGAAATGACTGACCCATGCCTTCTCCTCTTGTGAGTGAACTCTTGGCCCCAAAAAAAAGATTTGGAGTTTTTTGTCAAAATGTTAGAGAGGTTTTATATATGAAAGAAAGACGTCCAAAGGTTGGGGATATTTCTGAATAAAAGAACTGGTTTATACAGAAAGCTGACATGAAAGCATGGTGTAACCATCTGGGAGGATTAGAGAAAGTGATACTATTACTTTAATGTCTCCAAAGTCAATAATGAGAATTTAAATTGGAGCTTCCAAACAAATAGATACTACCAAAAAGAGACTATAATCAGACATGAATATCAATTGCGGCCTAAAGATGCGTGCGTCTGCCACCATATAGAAACACGGCGAAGCTAGAGTTTAAGTTATAAGCTAGAGCTTAAGTTATAAGTTCAGTCGAACCCTAATAATTTTATTGATCTAAACTTTATATTTGTTTTGAAAAAAATTTAATATGAAAATTTTGATTTAAAGTTAAATAAAAACTAGAATTTTAAACCAGTGGTATTGGCCGCTTTAAATTTCTGCACCATCCGTCAAGACAACACATCCATGCATGTATCTCGTAAAAGATAAGAAAATCCCACATGGCACAAAGTGGAACACATGCATGTATCTCTTAAGATCTTTCTTATGGACTGCACTCAATTAAATCTCCATATGTATATACCCACATAATGTCTATTGCATATACATGCATAAATACTTGCATAGAGAATATAGAAGTCCATTTCCTATTTTTGGAACTTTAAAAAAATTCCCATTTTTTGTTTTTCTTTTTCCCCTTTCCCAAATTCCTATATACCGGGGATAAAGGGCTACTCATATGATTCCTCGAAGGACATTATCCAAGTTTAGCATGATCATGTCCATAGTCATATGCTATTTGTAGATGATATTATGCTACTCGATAAAATTAGTGAAGGTGACAATCGAAAGCTTGAGCTAAAGAGAAATACCTTAAGACAAAGGGCTTTAAGATATATAAGCAGAAGTAAGACTGAGTTCATATACCGCAAGTTTAGTCAGCATGAGAAGAGCGAATTTGAGGTGAGACTAGATGGAATTGTGGTGCCAAAATGCAAGCAATCCAGACATCTTGGCTCGTTGTTTCAAGAGAATGGAATGATAGATGAAGTTGTTACTCATAGGATTAAAACCGAATGGTTTAAATAGAGTGTAACCGGGGTTATGTGATAGAAGGATACTTACTCAAGTAAAATTTTATTGATCTAAACTTTATATTTGTTTTGAAAAAAATTTAATATGAAAATTTTGATTTAAAGTTAAATAACTTTAAAAACTAGAATTTTAAACCAGTGGTATTGGCCGCTTTAAATTTCTGCACCATCCGTCAAGACAACACATCCATGCATGTATCTCTTAAAAGATAAGAAAATCCCACATGGCACAAAGTGGAACACATGCATGTATCTCTTAAGATCTTTCTTATGGACTACACTCAATTAAATCTCCATATGTATATACCCACATAATGTCTATTGCATATACATGCATAAATACTTGCATAGAGAATATAGAAGTCCATTTCCTATTTTTGGAACTTTAAAAAAATTCCCATTTTTTGTTTTTCTTTTTCCCCTTTCCCAAATTCCTATATACCGGGGATAAAGGGCTACTCATATGATTCCTCGAAGGGCATTATCCAAGTTTAGCATGATCATGTCCATAGTCATATGCTATTTGTAGATGATATTATGCTACTCGATAAAATTAGTGAAGGTGACAATCGAAAGCTTGAGCTAAAGAGAAACACCTTAAGACAAAGGGCTTTAAGATATATAAGCAGAAGTAAGACTGAGTTCATATACCGCAAGTTTAGTCAGCATGAGAAGAGCGAATTTGAGGTGAGACTAGATGGAATTGTGGTGCCAAAATGCAAGCAATCCAGACATCTTGGCTCGTTGTTTCAAGAGAATGGAATGATAGATGAAGTTGTTACTCATAGGATTAAAACCGAATGGTTTAAATAGAGTGTAACCGGGGTTATGTGATAGAAGGATACTTACTCAAGTAAAAGGTAAGTTCTATAGAACAACTACAAGACCTGCTATGTTAAATGGTAGTGAATGTTGGGCTACTAAATTTTAACATATCCACAAGATGAGTGTTGCGAAAACGATAATGCTAAGATGGATGTGCGGTCACACAAATTTAAATAAAATTAAAAATGACCATATTCACTAGAAGGTACAAGTAGCACATATTGAGGATAAAATGAGAGAAGGTCGCTTGAGAAGGTTTGGTAATGTCCTACAAATGCACCGGTCTTTAAGTATAAAACTATGATATAGGAAGATGTAAAAAAGGGGCAAGATAGACCTAAAATCACATGAAAGGAAGTTGTCTCAGAAGACCTACAAATCCTTGAAATAAATGCACACTTAACTAAAGATAGGCATAGCGAAAGAGAAAAATTCATATATGTGATACCTACTAGTTGGGAATAGGTTTTAGACTTGGTAGAAAATTATTATTATTATTATTATTATTACTATTTTTACTTGTACTTTTATTATATTTGTTAATGATGATGATATGAGTTGAATTAAATGAAAAGAATTAGGATTCATATCGCCGATCCCAACTTATTTGGTAATAAGGTGTAGTAGTAGTAGTTGTTGTTGACTCAAACTAAAGGTTTTTCCAATTAATGATGGTTAGGCTATAATTACGTATTTTAGTCGCTTATTGCACTCTAATTCATTGCACTTTATTCGTTTTAAGCTTTAATTGATAGTGTTTTACACTTATTGTGTGTTTATGCCTTGTAGGAGTGATTCCGGATGATGTAGATATTATGGACCTAATTTGAGTAATTTGGAGCTTTGAAGACTGAGTAAAAGCCCAAGGGATTAAGCCGGGATCGTGTTTAGGGGTCGAGGACCAAGTCTGGACGTCAAAACACACGAAAACATTTGTATTATGAGAAATCCCCACTGCCGCGGCGCGTAGGGCGTCGCGCGTGTACAATTTCCTGCTGCATATTAGAACTAACTTTCTGAATTTCCCCTACTAATGCCCCGCATTTTACAGAGTGAAAATCCAATTTCTGCTAGGAGAAGATGATTTCGTCTGGGTCCGACCCTACTTGGTATAAATACATGGAAAAATATTATTTCTGGGCTTTTGACACATATTCGACCTAAGGAGGCTAAGGAGGAGTGAGAAGAGCAAAAGCACAAGGATTTCATCATTCTTTCCTCACTCAAGGCCCGAGTTTGGATTGAATTTATGTTTTCTTATACTTTAATTTATTTGTGATGAATTTCTCCATACCTATGGAGTAAGTTCCTTTAGGGTTTGATTGATTTGGTGTATTGATGATTGTTTGTAGATTATATTTCTAGTTTTATGTATTGAATCGTTTGTGGATGATTTAATTGTTGCATTTATATTCACCTGTTCATATAATCGAGAGAGGCATACCTTGTGATATCTTTGCATTATATTGTTGATTGAGTTCATATATTCTTCTAAGTAATCGAAAGAGGCTAGTTGAATCATTGATTAAACCTAGTTAGGAGGATAATCGAAAGAAGTTATCCCAAAGACCAATCCACTACGAATTCTTGCATATCTTCATAGGGCTTAAATTGGTTCATCTTGTGAGGTTGAGACTTAATCGAGAGAGGAGTTTCTACTAAACGTTTGAACTAATAATTGAGTGAATTCGAGAGACTCACTTGAACATTAGAAGTGAATTATCTAGAGTTAGATCCAGAATAATTATCTTGCACCTATCCTATCAAAACCCTATCTTCCCCCATTGATAACCTTCTTTGCTTATTCCTTGTTTCGATAGTCATTAGTTAATAGCTTTAGATTCTTAGTTAATTTTAGTTATTAATCATATAAATATCGATTGTTGATTATCTTGGATAGCAATCAAGCTAGAAACTATGAAAATACTGTTTAACTCTAATCCATGTGGATACGATATTATACTATACTATCTTTGACTAGCGAGCATAATTTAAGTGCGAGTTTTGCGCTCGTCAAATTTTGGCGTCGTTGTCGGGGATTGACATTCAATAGTTTTCAAAGTAGTTTTTGGTGCTAATTCAGGAATTATGTTTTAGATTTTTTTCTTTTCTTTTTCTTTTCTTTTTCTTTTCATTTTCTATTTTATTTTCTTTATTAGTTAACTTCTTTTCAAGATTTGTTTTGTAGTATCTAACAAGTTGGAGAAGATTCTGTAGATATTGAACTCTAAATGATGTGAAGATGGAGTACAACCAGCCTAAAAAATGGTTGAAGAGTTAGCAGCTGAACATTATCAGTGGTCTACTATATGTTTTAAATGCGATAGAAATCATCTATGGGTTGACTGTCAAGCAGGTATGTATTCTTCCTATGGTTCGTATTTTGAACAATCTCACTCTGTTTCTAGTCCGTACAGGTATGCGAATTCATATAGGCATAATCCCGACTCTGGTTGGGATGAATATCCTTATTATGGCTGGAACAAAAGTGAAGTGAGACAACCACCTCAATAGGGGAATGGTAATTTAGAAGTGCTTATGCATAGGTTCATGAATAGTGTTGAAGAAAGTTTTATGCAAAATAATGTAGCAATTAAGAACCTAACAACGCGAGTGAGTACACTAGTTAATATACTTTCAGAAAGCTCATTGCATTTTGATAGAAAATACATAGAGGAGATACCCTGTGAGAATAAGCCTACCCGAGAGGATGAGCGTCTACAGAGGGAGATTTCCACGATACAAGAGGACTCTGATTCAACTGAGATGATAAAAAATAAGGCTGCGGTTGAGTGTGAAGCAACGGAAGAAGAGTTCAAAACCCCATCCACCTTTCCACATTTGCAACATTTGGTAAAAGAGAATGAGAAACAAATGGTCTTGGACATACCAGAGGAATATTCACTTGACCCTTCTTCTTTGTTTTCTTATTCTAACCTTGATCATGTGGATTTTATTTTTGGAGATTTACAGGAATATGTATAGATTGATCCTGTGAAAGAATGCAGAAATAAGTTAAGGATCACCATAAATGAGCAATTCACCGCTCAAGCTGAGGACAAGAAAGAAAGAAAATAGCGGGTCTTCCGGGTATCCTCAGAAGAATTGGGCATAATGAGCTCCATAAAGAATCCTAAGGAGCGAAAATGGGGAATGAATTCAGAATTAGGGGTGGATTTCATACGTTCTTGGAAAAGAAGAAAATTCAGGGAAGTTTCTTTTACCTTATGCTTTTTAATTGTGTGTCATGGGGACATGCCACAACTTAAAGTGTGGGGTAGGGGATATCTGTTGTATGTATGTATATTCGTTTTAGTTTTCTTTTTGCCTAGTTTAGTAGTTA